ACTTGTCCTATTTTTTTCCCTCTTCTTCCCAGTAGGCTTCTTTCCCTTTTTAATATTCTCATCCTCTTTCTTTCTCCGTTCATACTCAGAAATACTCACCAATAAATCCAAGACATAGAAGTTCTTTGTCTTAGTCTCGAAGACATAGCACCACTAATGGCCAACAAATAGGGCAGGACTAAAGATGCAATCACAATCTCTAATATTATATCCCAAGTACTCAGGCAGTATCTCTCTGCTATTGTCGATAACAATTTAGGACTAAGGGTTGTTTGCCATTTTTTTCATGAACTCTAAACCAAAAATGTGCCTCCTAACTCTGCCTTCATTCTATTTTTCATCTCCAACCAATTCCTGGCAACCATTGTCATAAACTAAAATTGGCAAAATAGAATCACAAGCGCAGTAAGTTAATATTCGTACAGTGGCAAAATGATTTCATTGACTACAGATTTCATACCCTATCATTGATCCATCTAGTTCTACTAAGACATTAAAGCTCAGCACGAGTTAAGAAATATCCATACATCTACACAAAGGTCCTGTTGAAGAAAAGAAAAACCATTTAATTAATAATAAAGTTTAGGTGGTGTGTTTTTTGATCAAGTGTGATGACTTACCTCCCCCCTTGTCTTCATCACACGATGTTGTGCACATATGAAATAAACACTCCTTCTTAGCTAGTTTCCTCCTCTGACTAGGTTTGACCCAAGGAGACTTCACGACAGGTCTTTTGTACCTTTGTGATCTCCTAGGTTCTTTTACTTCTACAATCTACAGCTCTCTAATCCCTTTTGCAGCTTCTTTTTCTTTAGCTTCATCTTCATGTATACTTAACTCTCTTACTTCCCCTTTTGCTTCTTTCTCTCCTTCATCCATGCTCTTATGTACACAAGTTGTCTCTTCTCTTTTTCCTTCTTCTTCTTTCTCTTCTCCTTCATCCCATCCCGTTCAAATTTTTCCTCATCTTTCTCTTTACCCAGTTTAGCATTCTCCTCAACCCCTTGCTCATCTCCTTTTTCACCTCCTTCGGAGCTTTTCTTATCAGCCTCTTCATCCTGTCCTTTACCTTCTTCATCCTCATTAGCCTCTTCTAAATTATCCTTATCAGCTTCCTCTTCCTCTTCATCATCTTCCTCTTTAGAATCTTTATGTGCTTCTTCTTTTATTTCGACACCCTCTCCTTCTATCTTCTTAATATTTTCTAAATCCCATAGAAGCTTCATTTATAGGTTCATCAGCTTCTCACCAAGTGTAGACACTACTCTTGCATACATCTTTCTTATTTCCTATAAAATAAATTATGTGTTAGCATAGGAAAATTGGTAATGAATGCAGGATTAATTTCTATACAAATCAAGTGACTAAAAGCACACGTTGGATAACACTTGGTAGAAGAACTACCATCTGTACTCATGGGATCATGCAATATGCCTCGAATACTCTTCTTCTCTACCTTTACCCTTTCGACAACCTTCTCCTCATCCTAATATGTGAGGGTATCATCAGGCTTAGGTGTTTCTTCTTGGCCAAGAGGAAAATATTGAAAGCAATAAACCTACATAAATTTTGACATGTTACTTTGAAGATATAATGATCCGTATTCTATCAAGTTATAAATTGCAACCATACATTTACCATGAGGAAATAGATGCATCCTCTAACATTCTTCCTTCTAGTTGTCTTCCCTTTATTGAGTTATTGCTTCCACATATCCACTTCATTGCATAGTTCAATCAACACATACATTGCCCAATGTATTTACTAATTCCTTTACGTGTTTCATGTACAACCTTCAAAACATGGTCACTAACCCCTATACTTGCTGTTGGACATAGCAAAGTTCCTAAAGTGTACATTAGAAACAACAACTCGAACTGCGCATCCTCTTTTTTAGATGTTATCATTTTTAAAATATTCTTATAGGGCATTCTAAAGTAAGTTTCCTTCGATTTCCTGAATGATTTGTCATTGATATCTACTTCTCCGGTTATCTTCTTGCCTTCACTCTTTATGCCTAATAAATTTTGTACATCCTTTGCATTTATTTTTCTTACTTTCCCTCTAATGCATATTTCTTAGGTTGGGGGATCAAGTGCCTGCATCAACTCTCCACAGATATCTCTGTGTATTTTCTTGCATCCTCTGCTTAGCAATTTGTCAAAGCCAATCTTCTCGCGCGTTTTCCTTAATTTGTCCTTTTGCCTAACATATTCTGCAACCTCTAAAAACTAACTGGGAAAGCAACGAGTGTGAAAGGGTACAGTATATTTTGTAGCTATCTCTCCTTTCTCTTCCTTTGCTTTCTTTGAGTATTCCTCCTTGTTTGCTGGTGACAACTTGTCCCATGCTTTTTGTCAAATCTCCCTATCTTTTGCCAATTGATTTTATACTTCCCCTTGTTCTTCTTGTAGAATTATTCTATAAACTTTGCATAACTAGAAATATTAGCCTTCCTTTCTCCCTTCATCTACAATTAATTAAAAATTCACATAGTTTAATATTAGTGAAAATCAGAATCACAACACGTATGACACACATTAACCACCTACATGTACAACTATATACACATGCTTGTTAATTTCCCAAGACAAGTTGTTAATGTCCTAACCCTACTTGTCATCAGCGAATAACCATTTAGTTATCAATGTCTTGTACTCTACTTGTCAATTTCCTAAGTGAAGTTGTTATTGTCCTCACTTTATTGTAGACATGCATCAGGTAACATGGATGAGCCTTTTCTAAATCCTACTTGCCGATTTCCTATGTTTGTTTGTGTAAAAGTCATGTGTCATTTTGTATATAGGCGAGTAGAAAATTTCTAAGGTTCAGTCACCATTTTACCTCTGCTTTGTGCTTATAAATAATGCAAGAGTTGCAAGATAAAGTTTTTAGGGCTAAGGATTCTAATGAAGAACTGGTGATAGTAGGGAGGGAAATAGTAGATTCATGGAGAGATGTTTTTGCTAGAGAACTACAGTGCCATTAATTACATAGGTAATTTTAAGGGGCTGTGTATTAGCTGTAAGATATGGATTCTTGTTTTGTTATCGAATGATGAAATCTTTTAATAATGTAAAATCATTTGCAAGGATGCTAAGCACAAGTAAGATATATAGCTACATGACTATTAAGGCAATGTGGATTATACTTTCAAACTTTCATTTCTTACAATATCCTATTGCCTCCTCTACACAAAAAGTTTTTGGAGGAAGATTGGAAGAAAATAACTGCTCTACAGTAAGAAGCCAAGTAAATTCATCAACGTGCTTCTTTCTCCTTTTTGGTTTTTCTTAGCATTTTAAACTTGAACAAGGTTACTTGATGGAGAATGAACAATTTCATGATTCAGTTATGTGATTATGGTTATAGTGGTTCAACTGGTGTGTAATGTGTAAAATTCTTTTTACTTTGGTAGGCTATTTATAAAATATTTTATTTATATGATAAACTCTTTTATATTATAGTAGAGTTTTAAAATAAGTTTTGTTATTTATTATCATGGTACAAAAGGTAAGGGTTCAATGAAGTAAAAATAATTTATTGAATTAATAATTTACAAAAATTTGATTCAAAAAATTTTATGATGTTACATATTGGTATCAAATTTTGAGCCTTTGTTTTGGTGATACTAATTTAAACTTTTATTTGAAGCTATTACTTTAGATTTAATATGTATTTATTATGTGTTGGTGTGATGCATTGCATATAGTTAGTTGACAATATACATTGTTATGGTGCTTCTCATTGTATGGCCATTATATGGTTAGGCTAACTTTATATATATATATATATATATATATCTTGCATCCTTTAGGAGGGGAGAAAGGATGCCTGTCACTCGCAGTAACTTAAGATCCCAACATAAGTAACCACCACCTCCATCGCCAAATAAGGAGCCTGACTTGGCAAAATTGAGAGTACTTGTAAAGACTTTACGGAAAAGGTCTAGAGATACGAATAAGATTTAATAGAGCTAAAGAGACAAAAGGTTATTGAGAATGGTTATAGGGCCCATGTTGAGAGTCATGTGGGGGAAGGCAGTTCCTCACATCCTACTATTCCAAGAGATCATGAGCCTAAGAGGGACAAGACTAGGCAAGAGCAACAGAGAACCCCACCATCCATTATTGATGTGTGGGAAACTCTTAGGAAGTTTAACCCTCCCACATTTAATGGTAACCTTAAACCATCCATGGTGGAGGAATAGGTAAAGGGACTTGATTCTATCTTTCAAGTAATCATGTGCAGTGGTAACTAAAAGGTAAAGGTAAAGGGAGTAAGAGATTGATGGGAGATAGTAGGGCCTAGGGATGATTCTACACTCACATGGGAAGAGTTCAAGGAAAAATTGTTCAAGCATTACTTTCCATTAGAGTTAAGGTCCAAGAAGGAAGCCAAGTTCCATGCTTTTAAGCAAGGAAACCTAGATGAGGACACATTTATCGCCAAGTTTTAGGAGTTATCTAGATACTCTACCTACCTACAATATAAGGATGATTCTAAGTGGAAGGCCAAGCTCTTATTGGAGAAGGTGAGACTAGAATTGAGGGAGCAATTAGCTTATCTAGATATCTAAGATTATGACAAAATGTGCATAAAACTACAAATAGTAGCCGGCAATAAGAGGGGGGATTTATATAGTAGACCCCCAACCTACCCCCGACCCACTAGAGACATTATAAAGAAGAACTATTAGGGTTTGAGTGGCTCATGGAACTAAAGAAGGAAGAAGGGTCCATTTTAAAAGGGCCAAGGACATAGGAGCCATTAGAGTAACTATCAGGGGTCGTAAAGGGGCCCAACAATATCTACCCCTGTCTCGAGTAAAACGAGCTCTCAGTAGTGCACTAAATGCGGGCACCGTCACTCTGGGCCGTACTGGGTTTATTACATTTGTGGAAAACCCGATCACATTGTAAAGTTTTGTGGGGATAATCAGGAAGAACCCCTCCCAGCGTCTTACTATATTCGACCGTGTGTTTGCCCTTACTCAAGACATGATGAACTCCCTAGATGCCATTAGAGGTAGCATTAAAATCCTTCATCTTGATATTGTTGCACTGTTTGATTCAGGTACTACACACTCTTTTATTTTTGAAACTTGTGTAAAGAACTTTGATTTTCCTATATACGTATTACCTTTTGATATGAATATGTCTACTCTTACGGGAGAATCTGTGAGGACCGCTAAGGCATGCCTTAACCTAGCGTTCGAGTTTGAAAATAGGAAGACAACTATAGACTTGATTATCCTACCACTAAGAGGTATGGATGTAATTATAGGAATGAATTGGATGTCTGTGAATGGTGCTATCCTAGATTGTAGAGAAAAGGAGTGTGTCTTTATCTGCTTTGTGGGCGACTCCGATCGAGGCTCAAGACCATGTTTTACTATCGGTGGCACAAGTTGATAGATATATGAAGAAGGGTTGCCAGGCCTACATGGTTTTCTTTTCTATCCAAGCTAAGATTGATGAAGGTGTGAAGAATATCCCTATTGTCAAGGAATTTACATATGTATTTCTAGATGAGGTCTTTGGCTTACTCTCGGAGCACGAGGCGGAGTTCTCAATTGAGTTGGTACCCAGTATAGGACTAATTTCTAAGGCTCCTTATTGGATATCCCCCTCAGAGTTAGTAGAACTGAAAAAGCAAATTGAAGAGCTACTTAAGAAGGATTTCACCTTAGGGATCTCTGGTTCTTTTTGTAAAGAAGAAGGATGGAAGCCTCCGACTATGTATTGATTATGGACAATTGAACAAAGTAACCATCAAGAACAAATATCCACTTCTAAGAATCGATGATTTACTGGATCAGCTTGTGGGATTAGCAGTTTTCTCAAAGATTGACTTAATTGAGAGAAAGAGCGAAGGACATACCTAAGACAGCATTTCAGACTAGATATAGGCATTATGAATTCATGGTGATGTCGTTTGGACTTATAAATGCTTTTGTAGTATTCATTGATTAATAGGATCTTTTGACCCTATTTAGATAAGTTTGTAGTAGTGTTTATTGATGACATTCTTATTTATTCGAAGGATGAGGAGGCTCATGGCGAGCATTTAAAGACTGTATTGTAAGTTTTGAGGGAACATAAGCTTTATGCCAAATTAAGCAAGTATGAGTTTTGGCTCCAAGAAGTGAAGTTTTTAGGCCATATTATGTCTAGAGACAGAGTTCTAATGGATCCTAGCAAGATTAATGCAATGATGAAATGGGAATAGCCTAAATCTGTGACTAAGATACGAAGCTTTTTAGGTTTAGTAGGTTATTATTGTCGATTTATTAAGGGATTTTCACAAATTGCAATACCCTTGGCTAAGCTGACTAAGAAGGATGCCTATTTATTTAGATTGACAAGTGTGAAGTTGCTTTTCAAGAGTTGAAAAAGTGGTTGACCACTACTCTAGTGTTGACCATTCCTGACCTTATGGTACTGTACACTCTATACACTAATACTTCTTTAAAGGGTTTAGGATGTGTTTTGATGCAAGATGACCAAGTGGTTGCCTATTCCTCTAAATAGTTGAGGCCACACGAGGAAAATTACCCTACACATGACTTGGAGTTGGCTATAGTTGTTTTTGCTTTCAAGATATGGAGACACTACTTGTATGGATCTAAGTTTCAAATCTTCATTAATCATAAGAGCCTGAAGTATTTATTTGATCAGAAGGAGCTTAATATGAGGCAGCGACAGTAGATAGAATTTCTAAAGGATTATGACTTTGAATTGCATTATAATCTGGGTAAGGCTAATGTGGTAGCTAATGCTTTAAGCAGGAAGACTATTCATGCTGCACATTTGATAGTTTGTGAACATCATTTATGGAACAGTTTTCATGATGTTTCGATGGATGTGATTGAGCATCAGATGACCATACTCCAAGTAGCAAACTTTGAGAGCAAATTCTGGGTAGATCTTAGAGTTTCACAACATAGTAATGACTATTTGAGGAATATAAGGAAAGAGGTAGTGGCAAGCAAGGCCCCAAATTTTACCATCTTTGATAACACAGTAATGAGGTATAAAGGAAGAGTTTGTGTACCTAATGATTCGAGATTGAGTAATATCCTTTTAGAGGAGGCTTATAGGAGTAAATATACAATTCATTCAGGTATGACTAAGATGTACGATAATTTAAAGCAAGGTTGGTGGTGGTCAAGAATGAAAAGAGATGTAACAAAATTTGTTTCTAGATGTTTAACATGTTAGAAGATAAAGATAGAACATTAGAAGCTAGCTGGAATGCTGCAACTGTTAGATATTCTAGATTGGAAATGGGATGATATTTTTATAGATTTCATCACTGGATTGCCAAGAACACCCTCGAGTAAGGATGTTATTTTGGTAATTGTGGACTGACTCACTTTTTGGCGATCAAGTTTACCTCTGCATTAGAAAAATTTGCTGAGATATACATTAAGGAGATAGTTAGGCTTTATGGTATACCCTCCAAAATTGTGTTAGATTATGACCTGAGGTTCACTTCCAACTTTTGAGGTGTGCTGCAGAAGGCTATGGGTACTAGACTAAGTTTTAGCACTGTAAACTACCCCCAAATAGATAGACAAATAGAGAGGATGATCCAAACTTTAGAGGATATGTTGAGAGCTTGTGCCATTAAACTATCAGGCAGTTGGGATAATCATCTACCATCAGCTGAATTTGGTTATAATAATAGCTATCATTCTAGTATTAGGATGGCACCTTATGAGGCCTTATATGGAAGGAAGTTCAGATCGCCTTTGTGTTGGACAAAATTAAGTGAGAGGAGTATCATTAGTCCAGAAATTGTAGCGTAGACCACTCAAAAAATTGCTATGATTAAGTAAAAATTACTAACATCTCAGAGCTGACAGAAGAGTTATGCCGATAAGAGGAGACGGCCATTGGAGTTTGAAGTAGGAGATCATGTATTTTTTAGAGTTTCTCCCGTAACAGGCATTGGTAGATCCATTAAGGCAAAAAAGTTGACACCTAGATTTATGGGCCTATATGAGATCTTAGAGCAAATTGGACTTGTTGCATATAGAGTTGTATTGCCTCCGCAAATTGCAGGTATCCATAATGTGTTGCATGTATAACAGTTGAAGAGGTACAACCTAGATCTCTTCCATGTTATTGAACCTGAAGAAGTGTAATTGAGGGAGAATTTGACCTTTAAATCTGAACCGAATTGAATTGAGGACTTTAAGGACAAGTAACTGTGTAATAAGACCATCTGACTCGTAAAGGTGATTTGGAAGGGTGTAGCCCTAGGTGATGCCACATAAGAGACTGAGGAGAATATGATGCAAGATTATCCACATTTATTTGCTTAGGTACGTAGTTTCTAAGCTTATTAACCTTAAATTTTGAGGATAAAATTTCTAAAAGGAGGGGAGAGTTGTAACATCCTAATTTTTAGATAATAAAAAAATTATGGGATTTAGGTCTTATTGAGGATAAAAAATAATAATAATAGGAATTTATATTATTTGAGGTTATTCGGGAGTAATAATATGGTTAGGCATTTAATTAAAAATTAAAAATTTAGGCTTAAAATCATAAAAAAGTTGTTTAGTTAAGATATAATTTTAAGATTTAAAATATATAAGTAAATATATATGTGTTTCTGTAGGTAACAAAAAAAAAAAAAAAGAGAAGTGCAAGGCTTATTTTAGGTCCCATATCGGTTAGATATGGGAAGAGGAATGAATTCCTCAATTATAAAAAAGGATTAAACATGCATTAAATGGGGACAAAAGGGTATTGGGCAATTTGTAAAAATTACAACGAAGGCCCAAGGGTTTGAATAATTAAATTGAAATCTATAATCATTTTTTAATATAATTGTCGGACCCACAATCACATTTTTATATCATTTTCCCCATATCTCTCTCTGTCTCACACACACATTGCTTCATCCTTTCTCACATAAGGAGTGTTTATTTCCTTTTTCTTCAGGTATGCTCCAACTTTTTAGTTTAGATTAGCATTAAAAAAATTATTTAATTACAAAATTAATTTCATAGTTATTTCATAAATAATATTATCTTTCTAATGATGTGATTATTTTGTAGAATAGAGCAAATATTCTGATTAGGATTATTCCTCACCCCTCCAGCAGCTTGTGATATTCATTGATTTGCCCTTCACATCCTGATTCTCGATCATTTCCCATTTATAGTAGTTTTCCACAACAAACTTTTATTTGCCAGCATCCTCAACAGTATACTTTGTCACCAGGGATTCTTATATCTTACAGGCTTCCTTGTAGACACAGTAGACATCGAATAGATCATTAGATAAAGTGCTAATGATAGTGTGTTGGCATACCTTATTTGCATGAGTCCATGCAACTCTTTGTCCTTGGTCAGTGTCAGCAGCAGGCTCGGTTTGAGCAAGGGCAGCAGCTACACCATGCATATCAAGAATGGTAAAGACTCTTTCCTACCAGCAATTGAAATTCTAGCCATCAAAGACCTCTATTTTTTATATGTTTGGGAATGGCCTCGGCAGGGGGACAGCAACAGCAATAAGGACGAAGTGATCTCTACTAGAACCACTAAGCACATCCTCGGGGATGACATTCTCAACATTTTTTGATGCCATTTAGTTCAGCTAGTTCTTAAAATTGTTGGCGGTATGGAGGTAATTAGAAGTTGCTTAAGTCGTGCTGAATGATACTATCCTTAAGAACTATTCTTGTACATCGGTATGGCGGACTAACAGTTCCTCAGAATTAAACAAGCATGTCCTACAAAATGCAAGGGCACAGAATAAAAAACATTAGCAAACTCAGATGAAGAAGAACACAACGGAGGAGGAAAGAAAGCCTCGAAAGCTTAAGAGGTAGGCATACTATTCTGTCTGCACCCATGGCTATATATAGGTCAAAGGCAAAGACATGAACGTTGCACTCATAATCACCAAATTAAAGCCTCGGATGCCTCTTAAACTCACACGCAGGGGACGAATCAGCTGTTTTCAACAGCAATTGCCCTAAGTTGGCTTGTTTCGTGCACACGAGCCTACTTCTCCTCAAGCCCATTTTACTAGCCCATTTCATTCCTTAATATTTATATACTAGGAGTACTCTTCATTTAGGCAATGTGGGATTTCTTTTGACACACACACACAATTACTACAACAAAATCAAAGTTGAATTGGCATCAAAAATCCTAAGTGTTTACTATCACATTTGTATATCTAATAATTTTGTATATCTAATTATCACTTTAGAATCTAGATAAACTATATAAAAAATTATCCTTGTACATGGAATAAAGTTGTAATCAATTTAGTACATTTAATTTTTTAAAATTATCATCCTGATGACTTCAAAATTATTACTAAATATTATAGAAATAATGATGATATTCAAAATAATTTTAATTCTATCATCAAGAATTAGTTTACTGCAGTATTGAGTGGACCGATTTTTTAAAGCATTGGGTTGTGAGTATGCTCCTTGGGGGTGCTTTCAGTATTATTTCCTACTCCTTTGACCATTTCTTGTGTGTTTGGACTAAAAAGGTGAAAATGGAAAATTCTTTACTCTTCAGTTTATTTTTTGGGATCTTTTCGTTTTCAATGTCTATACTTTCTTCAAAAAAAAAATTGTAGGATAATAATCCCTTATCAATATCATGATTAAGACAATATTCACATTTTCTATCATGAATTAGGGAACTAAACTTGGTTATACTTGTAACATAATGGTTTATTGGTTCCATTAAGTAGAGTGATCCAAAT